GGGCATTTCGTGGTCGACTGCAGGAAGCGGGTGGGGCACTGATGGCTCGTGCTCGAGATCGTGGCGTGATGTTTCCGGTACATGTTGGGCGTCTTTCTTCGCCGTGCCCTCCTCTTCTATCTCGGACGCTCCTGATTCGAAGGGATTCTGAAGCTGAGGATACTGTAGTGGGTCTGGTATTGAGTCGGTTTTGGGCGCAGGTGCAGCAGGCTGTGGGAGAGACTTGAAGCTAAACCCATTCTGCAGACTTAGCAACAATTCAGCATCCTCCTTTCTGACCTCGGGTTGATATGTGTAACTGCTGCGCGGTCTCTCTTGTGGTTCTGACCATTCCATAGGGTGGAATCTTTCTGATTTTATCCTTTTGGCCGGCCTGTCGAACGAGTCTTGGGAGTAGCCGTTGATGTAGGAAGTGTTCGGCCTGGAAGTCGAATGGAAGATGGGACTGCCGCCAAAGTGGAAAGCAGTATTCGAGCTTGTGAATTCAGGACTCGTGGCGATTGCTATGTTGGCCAGGTCGTCGATGGTTGAGCCAGCGCGTGTGTGGCCCCTCTTCGGCGGGCCCCGATATTGAGTGGTAGACGCTTTAGCACTTGCCCGACGTGCTGTGTGCGTAGTAGCATGGTCGCTGTCCCTGTTGTGTTTCGGCGAGCGCACCTTAGCGCCGAGATGAGCTCTACCCTCTTCATCCAGGTAGAGATGGTCGGGGTCTGGTACAGATTTGTCGGAGAGGGCAGTGTGTGACAGACCAAGACCTTGGAGAGGGTGTCCGTTGGGTTCTCTCTGCTCTCTCTGTTCTCTCTTCTTGCGACTCGAGGAGTTGTGTGGGCGTGTAGGAGTCGTAGGTACGGGCTCAGGCGACAGTCTCTCGATCGAGTCCGCTCTAGGGCGCTCAGGACTGCTACCCCGCCGCGGAGTACTTTCGTTGCGACGCCGCCAGGCTGTTGAAGTGGGCATGGCGGGTGGTGGTTGGTTGTTGTTTATATGTGACTGGCGCTGCGCAGGCGGGGTTCGGCGACGAAGTAGCTCGTGCAGGGCGCTTCAGGACGCAAATGTCACATTGGATCGTGTACGGGCGACATTGCCAACAGTAACTTGGTGTCGCTATGTTGCAGTGAACGAGAGTCGGTAGTAGTGCGGTGTAGTGTGGTTGGGAAGTGAACTTGACTTTACTCGACCCGCTGCTGGCTGGTGAAGCAGAAGTCCCCGGCAACTTTGAGCCTGCGACCAATTTCGACTACTAGTACAATACTCTATGCATGTGACTAGCCCAGAATCACTACGTCTTCCTCCTTCCAGCACCTTGAATTACTCTAAATCCTGCTTCATACTGTTCGTTGGGTTTTTGAGAGTCTTACTATCTACGTCACTCAACATAATCGACATCGACGCCCGCCAGCGACGACTTGGTGGTGGTTGTCCTCGGTCGAAGGTGCAGCCTCGTTATTTTCGCCGCAAAAGAGGTCCGCCCTACCACATTTCACCACTTGCGGTCAACGTCCTCCACTCTTCCCTTTTTCTTCAACAGGCAAAGCAGCATGTCTCGAAGCAACAAGTTGGCACCCGAAGCCAACCGCATCCTTTTCGTCAAGAATCTGCCCTACAATGTCGATACTCCGACCCTCTTCGATCTTTTCGGCAAGCACGGTCCCCTCAGACAGATAAGAGCTGGTTCCACAAACAACACCAAGGGAACAGCCTATGTCGTCTATGAGGATGTTATGGATGCGAAGAATGCCTGCGACAGACTGAATGGCTTCAACTTCATGAACAGATATCTGGTCGTCCTCTACCACCAGCCCGAGAAGATGAAGATCACTTCTGCCACTGAAGATATTGCTGCTAGGCAGGAGAATCTCGAGAAGATGAAGCAAGAACACGGCATTGATTGAACGTTGAACACTTATTTGTGCAAATATGGAACCTACGACACATATCCCACAGATTCCGACAAGGCAGATAGATCGCTGGCAGGCTGGAGTGAATCTCCTTCACGACCATTGATTACATGCTCATAGATGGCGGCTCCGAGTGCCTAGGCCGCTTGTATGACGACTGGATCAAGAGCGGTCCGGCAACCAGCTAAGGCTCAATTCGTGTTGAAGCAATGACTCTCGCACGGCAAGAGCTACCAAAAGAAATTCCTACATGGAACCTACAACGGGAAGCCAAAACCCTCAGTGCACTCCCAAATAAGCCTCAAGAGCAACCCGTGAGATGTTCTACGCCGGATGAGGTCAAAACTGGCCTCATCTGATATTGACCTTCGGAAGGTGTTGGTGATTATCTTTCCAGATATGCTGCATGATTGGTAGCAAAGGATATACGGTTCCCGGTATATCAGTTCGTGGAAGGCGCAAAGGTCGTGGTCGTGGATAGGGCATTGTTGATTGATAGAGGAAAGAACCATACGAGTCAGATTTGAGTACAGAACACTACCAGAACCACAACTTCTCCAGCTCATGCTCGCACAATTTGTAAAATATCTGAGGAATGCAAGGACTCTGCGCGGTGATGTGTGGTCGTTCCATTGAAAGGAGTGTATTTCTCAAAGGTACCATGATCTGGTACAACCCAGCCTGAGTGCCAAGATAGAATTTTATTGAATGCCAAAAGTTCCGCGACGAGCAAATTGAGCTTTTTGTGAAACCTGAACATGAATATCTGAGTCTTCTGCAAACCACAACAGTCCTTTTTGAATACTTCTGTGATCCGCACCGGCGCACCTACAGCTGTCCGAATATTTGAGCAGGCCTCGAACAGCATAATCGTTTCCTTGACCGCTTTCACTACCTTCCCAACCATGGACTCCCGTACTATAGGTGTTCTTGGCGGGGGTCAGCTTGGTCGCATGCTTGTGGAGGCTGCCCATAGACTCAATATCAGAGTGGCAATCCTAGACACAGAAACCGCCCCAGCAAAGCAGATAAATCAGATCGCCAACTCAAGCCATGTTACAGGCTCATTCGCAAAGTCCGCAGATGTGCGCCAGCTGGCTTCAAAAGCAGATATTCTGACCTACGAGATCGAGCACGTTGATACAAAGGTTCTCGAAGAGCTCGAAGCAGAGTCGCCATTTGTAGCAGACAGCCAGTCGTGGCACAGAATACAACCTTCATGGCAGACTGTCCGCACAATCCAGGACAAGTACGCTCAGAAACAACATCTTGCCAAGCATGGCATCCCAACAGCAGACTCCAAAGGCGTTGGCACCAGCAGTCCACAGGGCCTGAAAGAGATTGCGTTGGAGCTCGGCGGCCTTCCCATAATGCTGAAAGCACGAACACAAGCATACGACGGAAGAGGAAACTACCCAATCATGAAGGTGGAAGACATTGAACCAGCCCTCAAAAGTCTCTCTGATCGTCCCCTCTACGCAGAGAGGTGGGCACCATTCAAGAAAGAGCTCGCCGTGATGGTCGTCAAGACTGCACAGGAGGCCTCTGGTGACCAATACGAACAGTCTACTCTCGCCTTCCCCGTCACAGAAACCGTCCACGAGGACAGCATATGCAAACTAACATACACACCACCGCGCGAAGTCCCCTCCAAAGTTCAACGACAAGCTCAAGACCTAGCCAGAAAAGCCGTCTCAACGTTTCAAGGCACAGGCGTCTTCGGCGTCGAGCTCTTCCTCCTCGAAGACGATACCCTTCTTATCAACGAGATCGCACCACGACCACACAACAGTGGCCATTACACAATCGAAGCCTGCCACATGTCACAATACGAAGCTCATCTCCGCGCAATAAGCCCGGATCTATCATCCACAATCACACCGGGCTCCACAGACCTAGCAGTAAACGCAGCAGTAATGCTCAACATCCTCGGCGGCCCCCAACCAGACTCACATCTCCTCGTCGCCCGCTCCGCCCTCAAAATCCCCGGCGCAAAAGTCCACCTCTACGGCAAAGGCGACGGTCGGCCAGGTCGCAAAATGGGCCATATCACCATAGTCGGCAAGAGCATGTCAGAAATAGAACAGAAGATCCACCCCCTCATCATCCTCGTCGACTCAATCCGGGCCCACAAGGACAGTGCCAAGAACAGCAACGAGGACATCTCCGCGACAGCAACAGAACTGCTAAAGCGCAACCCTATACCACCCGCAAAACCGCTCCTCGCCGTCGTAATGGGCAGCGACACCGACCTCGCAACCCTCCGGCCCGGCCTCGAACTCCTCGATAAGATGCCAATCCCCTACCTCGTCACTATAACCTCCGCCCACAGAACCCCGCAACACATGCTCAACTTTGGCAAAGCCGCCGCCTCCCGCGGCTTCAAGGCCATCGTTGCCGCGGCAGGCGGCGCAGCTCATCTACCGGGCATGATGGCGAGTGAAACGACCGTCCCCGTCGTTGGTTGTCCGGTCAAAGCATCCAGCATGGATGGTCTCGACTCACTCTTCGCCATCGTGCAGATGCCGCGGGGAATCCCGGTTGCTACCGTCGGTATCGCGAACAGCACGAATGCGATACTGCTCGCGGCACGAATCATCGGGACGAGTGAGCCGGCGGTGCAGGAGTGGTTGAGTGCGCATTTGCAGCAGATGGATGATGAGAATATGGCTAAGGCTGCGCGGTTGGAAGGGGAGGGGTGGAGGGATTATAAGAAGTTGGATCAGGCTATGCCTTTGAGTTTTAAGTAGTAGTGCGTTTCTGAATACTAAGGGCACGTCAGTATCCTGACAAGCGTAGTTTTCTGAAGCCTATTGTTCAGTGTTTCAAGCTCAGGCTCGATCGATTTTGTGAGTCTGCAAGCTTTCTGCGAGGCTGTAATTCCGTAGTCGGAATGTACGCTGGTCTTCGTTGCTTATGGCTGCTAGTGATCTTGTTAGACTGTTGAGCTCGCTGTGTCGAAGCACAGTGTAATTTGTTTACCTGCCTACGTGAATGAGGAGGTAGGTTACCAGGGATCTCGGCAAACCTGCTTGTGAGATGGACATGGTTCTATACATAAATTTGAAAATTATGCTCAACAATCAGCTCACACGATCTAACTCCGGAATGGTGTAATGGTCAACATCAGCCGCTCTCATCAAGAGTTCCCGGCTAGCTCGGGGTTCGATTCCCCGTTCCGGAATGGATTCATTTTTGCTCGTTTCTATACCTTGGACTCATTTTTGCGAAAGCTGTAGAAAAAGGTCGAGGTGAGGAATGAACACGAGAGGACGACCAAGCTACGTCTTGTGCGAGGTGTGCGCCATACAATACCGCCTTTTTGGCAGGAGATGATCTTGTCTTCGCACTAATATGCATGAAGGAGCGTGGCTTTACAGTATTTGGTCGATAGGAAGGCGCTCGCTACATAGAGAATCGGCAGGAACGATTGACCGTGTAGGCCTACTCACGCGACTCATGTTTGACAGGCCACAGACTTCGTACACCTCAGCTGTTCCTCTGGCACCTACCGGCGTATATTGCACCCTCTTTGAAGGCTTTCTCGACTTTTCTCTCCAGGGGTCCGTAGTTTCTTGAGTGAATCTCTTCACACTTCCTTTTTGGCCGAATGTATGGACCGCTGTAACTGCAGCATTGCGCAGGCATGTCATCTAAAGACATCACTTTGCAACATAACCTCACCCCTTGACCCTCACCTATATCTGACCTTCTGCTGGCCACCCCTAGCCTCCATCTTCTGCTGCCTCTTGCTCTGCGCTTGCGCACTAGTATCACCCTCACCAGCAGCACCAGCCATTCCACCAAACATACCCTTCACGCCCCGAGCAGTCGTGAATGCAGCATAACCAGCATAGGCAGGGACCACAAGGTAGGCCCACCAGGCTCTGTTCCCCATAATCATGACCACAACCAGGTTGATCCAAGTCCAATATATCATATCCCAAAAGAACTCTGTCAAGCCCGGCGCATCGAGGTCCTCCCCTGCTTTTCGTAGATTTCCCTGAGCATCATATCGTGGTCGTGCGATAGACTCAAGCCAGTACTCCAAAGCCAGCGCGGGCGCTGACAACGCTAGATAGGGCGTCAATTTGAGTGAGCGTCGTAAGGTGAACGCCAACAGGAGGAATACGAGGTGGACGATGAGGGTGATAAGATGGGTCTGTTTCAGACGCGCGCTGTTCCTTACGGCTAAGGACTTTGCGGATTTCTAGATGATCGCGCTGTCAGCGACCATCCAGCATATTGAGCTGCGTGCGGTGACGTACTTGTGCCATCCTGTCGCACACGACCAATTTCTTGATGGGTTGCGATAGAGCATCAGTAGCATGTATTCGTCAAGACTGACCCTTGCATCAGCCTCCGCAACAGTCTGGCTGAATTCAAGGAACCTGACAGTGAAGAGTGAATAATCTCGATCCCCGCCATCAATTGGCCGCAATTGGGGCCGTCGATCAGTCCGCAGCTGGGTTTCCAGCCTCGTCACTTCCGCTTTCATCACAACAACGTGATCACGACAACAACCGCCCACGAGTCTCTTCTCCCACTAGTTCATATTGTTACACACTTACGACCCAGGCGTTGGTATTGGAGATCGGCGAATCACGCGACACGCAATAATGAAGTACGACTGCTAATATGGCTAATGTTTCTCATTTGTTTTGAACGAGCTGCACCTTGGGATTGGCATGCAACCAACGCGCTGATCGATCTGAGCCACTCGTAATACCACTGCACGAAGACAGATCGACTTCGATGCCCTCCGAACTAGATCCCATATCTGCTGATCGACTTCTGCTCTACATAATCTCGCGACAATGGCACCGCCAACAGCATCTCCCGGCTCGCAGCTGAGGCAACTCGTCTACTACAACCTGGACAACAACTTGTTGAAGAACGCCCTCTTCCTTGCTCAGAGATTAGTCGCATACGAGTCGAGGAGTGCTGAAGCTGCTTTCCTTCTCGCACACTGCCAGTTTCAATGCGGCTATACCAAAGCGTCCTGGGACACGAGTAGACCCTACGCGATCAAGGGCACACATTTGGGCTGCGCATACGTCTTCGCGCAAGCATGTCTTGAACTGGGGAGGTATATTGACGGCAATCAAGCGCTGGAAAAGAGTCGGCCATTATGGCAAGGGCGAAATACACTCACGCAGCACAACGAAACACGGCGGCAACATTTACCCGATGCTGCGGCAGTATTATGTCTGGCGGGAAAGTTATGGAAGGGTCACAAGAACATGGAGAAAGCTGTGGACTGCTGGGTGAACAGTCTCAGGCTGAACCCGTTCATGTGGGATGCCTATACCTTGCTGGTTGAGTCGGGCGCAAAGGTTAATGTGCCTGCGATCTACAGGCTGAATCCAGATATGGTCAATATGGTGCATGCCCAGTATGCAGCGAATGAGAAGTTGCAAGAGAGACCGACCCAATACGCGTCAATACCTCAACAACCACCAAGCCATCCGTCTATGCCGGACCCCTTCATGTCCACCCAGAAAACGAACGGTCACCCTAACGCGCTGTTCGAGAAGCTGAACAACAGCAAAATCAATATTAGCGCAGCGAACAACATTCACGACGACGAACTAATGCCAACCCCATCCACAATGGTCGATGAGGATAGCATGATGCAGAATGTGAATGGAAATGCCAGATACGAAGCCCCGCCTGCGCCGTTACGAAAGGCAAGGAGCATACAGGACGTGCAGCCAGATCCATCGACAAGGTTAAAATCTACATCTACAAGACTTAAGTCGAGGTTAAAACCGACAAGCGAAGAACCACATCACGAACCACCACCTCCCGGTCCACCTTCTAAGCGAACTGTATCCGGTGCAGTGGCTCCATCACAGTTATCAGAGCCAGTACGGCGGACGACGAGATCACAAACTTCGAGACCGCCGAGCGCTACTTCTACAAATAAAATGTCCTCGCTAGCAAATTCATTAGGCCTGCGGCAAGAAAGAGATATCAAAAAGGCAAAGGCACCTGCCGTCAAGCCAAGAACAGCCACAACTGCAACTGTCGGTAGAGCCGTCAGTGGCAACAGAATGAAGACCGCGCCGAGCGCCGAGCCTCCTGATGCCGAGAGTAGAGAGAACCGCGCTCCGTCAGTACCTTTTTTACCAGCGATGCTCGAACAGCCACCTCCACAACAAGAGAACCGGGCTGAAAAAGACCTCGAAGGCTTCCGAACCATTCTCGACCTTTTCAATCGTCTAGCTACGGCTCACTGTTCTCTCTCCCACTTCGAGTGCCACATTGCAATCCAGACCTACAATTCTTTACCGTCCGCCCAGCGCGAGACATCATACGTCCTCTCCCAAATAGCCAGAGCCTACAACGAGATGTCTCAACACGCCGAAGCAGAAAAGTACTTTATCCGAGTACGGCAAACGGCACCATCAAGACTAGAAGACATGGAGATCTACAGCACAGTCCTCTACCAGCTGAAATCAGAAATCGAACTCGCATACCTCGCGCACGAACTAGTAGAAGTGGAGCGTAACTCGCCCCAAACTTGGATCGCCATCGGCAATTCATTCTCGTTACAGCGCGAACATGAACAGGCACTGAAGTGTTTCCGTCGCGCGACACAGCTTGATCCCAGTTTTGCTTATGGCTTCACACTGCAAGGACACGAGTACATCGAGAATGAAGAGTTCGCTAAGGCACTCGAAGCTTATCGCTGTGCCATTGCAGCGGACAACAGACATTACAATGCGTGGTATGGTCTAGGCAAGGTCTACACCAAGTTGGGCAAGTACAGCGTGGCAGAATCACATTATAGGACGGCAGCGAGCATCAACCCGTCGAATGCAGTCCTCACGTGTGCAATCGGGACAGTGGTCGAGAAGACGAAACCGCTGGATCAAGCGCTCAAGTTCTATGATAGGGCGTGCAGACTTGCGCCAAAGAACGCACTGTCGAGATTCAAGAAGGCGAGATGTCTTATGGGTCTCGGTAGACCAGAAGAGGCACTCTCGGAGCTAGAGGTGCTCAAAGAGATTGCTCCTGATGAAGCGAATGTTTGGTTCTTGAGTGGTCGGCTGTGCAAGATGCTGGGCAGAAAGACTGAGGCTGTGAGAGCGTTCACGGTGGCGCTCAATCTTGATCCGAAGGTATGTTGCTGTTCGTGTAATTATGTCAAACGTGTGCTAACGATGTTTGACAGGCTGCGCAGTATATTAAGGACGCGATGGAGTCTCTTGATGACGAAGAGGACATACCCGATGCTGATGGTGATGAGGATATGGATTGAGATGATTATACCACCACCAGCGACAAACTCAAGCAGCCCCCTTACATATTTTACACCTCTGAAGCAAAACCTCTTGATTCGCAGTTCGATCTACATCAGTCGACATTCCTCTGCCACAAATACTGAAAGAGGCGGTCACTACAAGGGGGTCCCATGGCAAGAAGCGTGTGAACATTCACCTCTCACAGACGGGACTCAGCTGGCTCAAAAACAAGGGCATATTCATCTTTGATTATAGCATAGCGTGATTATTTGGATATCTTGCATGGCGTTACTGGTATACTTGACCTGTCTCTGGAAAAATGAAGACAGTTTAGGGCTTGGGATGGAGACAGTTAATCTTCGGAAAGGGGCATGACTAGGCATGGCTGGTCAGCAGGCAGGTGATGATGGTATGCATCATGAATACGAATGCAATGTCACCTTCCGTCGTATGTTCCATTTCTTCTCGTTATTCGCAACACGAAGTCGTGGCCACTTCGGTCTCGACTGAGACTCGTGTTGACACGCAAAGTTGAGAAACCCCGTGGTACTAACTAGAAACCAATGTGCAGCGCTGTCGCTTACCACAAATTGGCTACTAATAAGCACAACTTTGATCACAAACACAGCGCGACGAACACGAGACCCTTTCGAAATTCGTCTTGTGCTGCGGCTACACTACGGAATATCGCCGGCTCTGGTCTACTGGCTTGCTACCGACCAACGATCAGCCAGTATACTCGTGTGCCTTGGTTGCGGACTTGAAGTTGAGTCTTCAACGAGACCAGGCCACGTACTGCTTCTGCCATAGTGGGAACACACCGATATGTGTGTATCGTCCGTTTTGCCAGCCCCCCGGCGATGAGGAGTGTTCCTGCCCTATACGGAGGAGCTCTCAGCTCAGCTCAGGAGCGAGTGCGTTGGGATCTGTCTGT